ATTTCTATAAAGAATTCTCAAAAAAACAAATCTCCTCTTATGCCTTTGTTTAAAGATGGTGACTCATTTTGAGACCAAATTCAGAAACACAATGCTTATTTACAATGCTTACTTTAGTGCCTTGTTTTCATTTCAAAACCATCACAATATGGATGTTTATCGTTGAGAAAGACACCAATACATGACTAACTTATTATCAGTGACTGTTGCCCTGATGGTCTCAAGCTGGTGAAGGTAGAGCATGAAGACAAACATGTCACAAGATAACTGGGTGTAATCCAGGTCTGTGCTGAGTTAGATGTTCTTATCTGGAGTTGCAAAGGAGGGCAAACCTGCTTTAAAGGGGCACTAACTATCTTCATGAAAAGTTTTTGATAGTATTTTTATTTTGGAAGGAAATAAAACCAAGGATTTTAGCAGGATACTATCACATACATGTGGTATAGTTTGACACAAATTGATGTAATGATATCAGTAAAGAATCATAGAAATTTTATATCATGTCTGTGCTTGTGCTAGCTTCCCCCTCAAATGAAGCAATCTAATCTAGATTTACTTTTGTTTGCAGCCAAACAAAACAAGGTTTGACAAAATATTTTTCCATCAAGATAGTGTCTCCTTAAAGTTTGCATGAGATTATATTTCCATCTCAGAACTCTCCAGTTTCTCCAAAACACATTGAAATTCTACCACAAATTGCTGATTAGCCTGCAGTTCCACTGAGTAAAGAGAAAGATCGTGAATCTCCTTATTCCAAGCGCTCAGATGAAGCAAGAAGGCGAGATCCAACAAACTGCTGATACTTTGAATTCTGATCTTAATCATCTTACGAACACAAATAAAAGTATGACCTTCTTCACAGCACTAGCCTGGAAACTGCAAACAAAGAAACCATTCAGCACTGTTGCTATTGCCAACCAAAGCAACCCTACTGAACATGGCAGAAGAGGATATAGTACAGAATCTGTTTATAGTGCACTGGAGCACAACAGCATAAATCTTGCCACCACTGCACTTCGCCAGAACACTTTGAACAGCAGCCTAAAAAATTGATCGGTATGATGGGTAAATGGAGAGCAATTTTATATCAAAGGGTGTTATGGAAGAGTACATTACCATTCTGTATAATACATGTGAAGATTACTGTTGATGCACCTGTCAATAACACAATAAGACTGGAATATGATACATCACATTATCACATCAAAAGATCAGTTTCTTTGAAGTGTACGACTATTATGTTGGCAAAACTATCCTCATGGAAGGGGGAGGGGGCAGTCAAATCTCCTTGGAGCTGAGCTGACTCCAAAGTGACAGAATGTTCGAATCAATTCAATCCTCTGTGACGGTCTCGGTAGTCTGGTTCCTCAGCCTGGCGGGTCCACAGTACTCCAGGACACTGCTGATGAGACACCAGACAACCTGGCCCATCATCAAGACTCGCAGGGGAAGACCAGTCAATGATAGCAGGGCAGTCCTAGCTGGACAAGTCGCAGGAGGCTTGCCAGACAGTGGTAATTTATGCAGTAAAATTGGTAATGCAGTTAAATTCCAGCAGTATCCCAATGCACATTCTAGGGTGCGGTGCCCAAACCTTGGCTCTTTCCAAACTGCGTCTAATACTCCCCCAATCTCTAGGTATGATGTGTGTTTAAGCAGATAGATACTGTTGGTTACATTGTGGTGCTCTCTACTTAAGCAAAGTGAAGATTTCAATATCACTTATTTGCATCCATGCATTCAGCAATTCTTAGACAGAATCTCTTTGTTAAACACTTAGGGATCTAAAATGCAACATCCATAAAACTGAAGTTGCTGTACTGTGCTGACGTATGGATACTCAAGTATGGTAATGGACTTCTGCATGTATCAGACTGACCAAAAGAAAAATAAATGGGGTAGAAGTAATAATAGTAATAATAATCCTTGCATTTGTACAGCGCTTTTCACGTCTTCTAGACGCCTCAAAGCGCTTCACAGAATATACTGTAAAGTGAATTGATGTATATTTGTGGGTGAAATGTGGCAGCCAATTGCACACAGCAGTGTCCCACAAACAGTCGTGTATTGAGTGACCAAATTATTATTGTTATTTTTTTGAGGGACTATTATCAAGCGTGTGGAGTAAGAAAACTTGCCAAAGGTTGCTGCTGGGAATCGAACCTATGCTTCTCGCTGTAATAATAATAATTTAATATAATGCCTTTCAAGTCTGGAGGATGTCTCAAATGCTTCACAGGATTTATTGTAAAGCCCAGTGATTGTGTTATTTTGTTGGCAAATATAGCACATTGTGCACAGCAATGTCCCACAAACAGCCATGAAGTGTATTAATACACCATGTGTATTAGGGGACTGTTGGCCAGGACTCCAGAGAAACTCCCTTTTCATTTGGAATAGTGCCATGGGATCTTTAATGTCTGCCTGAACAGCCAGACAGGACCTTGGTTGAACATCTCATCCAAAAGACAGCACTATCGGTAATTGTCTAAACCCCCAGTAATGCATTGGAGTGTCAGCCTGGATTGCGATTTCAAAGTCCTGATACGGGGCATGAACACACAACCTGCAGAGTTAAGAGTTAAGAGTATTTAGTCTTAGACTCCACTTTTAGGGCCAGTTCCAACACCCAAAACTAGTAATAACTATTTGAAATTAGTACAATACAAAACAATTAAAATTTACGTGGCACCTTTCATTATGGGAGAACCTCCCAAGGTGCCTGACAGTCCTGGATTGGCACCCGAGCTGGAGTGGGAGTGGAGGGCGTGGAGAGGGAAAAGCTGAATGAAGGCACGGTCAAAGAGGAAGCTCTTGAGACGGACCTTGGAAAAGATGAAAGAGGGAGAGGGAGTGAAAGGGACTCCGGGGTGGAGTTCCAGAGAGTGGAGGCAGAGAGGCTGAAAGCCCGTCTGCAACGGTGGGGCAGGTAGTGGGGAGGGAAGATGTGAAGTAGGCCTGTGCTCATTAAGCGAAGGGAGTGGGGGGGGGAAGGGGGGGCGATCAACAACAACTTGCATTTATATACTGCCCTTCACACTGGGTAGCGCGTCGGGAGGGTTTGATCGGTACGGTTTGAGAAATTCGCAGAAGTGGAGTTGGGCGATGGGCAAGACCGTGGAAGAATTTGAAGGTGAGCGCAAGAGCCTTGAACTCAATCTGCCGGGAGTCGGGGAGCCAAGTGGAGCTGGGACCGGGATGGGGAACGGCAGTCTCGCAGGGCCTGGGGTGGAAAAGGCCAGGGGCGGCAGAATTCGGGAGAGTCCTCAGCTGGCGTAGGGCAGAGCGAGCGTAGAGTTTTGCCATCGAAGTCAGGATAGTTCCACGGAATTACCCTGATCGATCGCAGCAGCGCCGCCAGGCCATTCCGCCCCATCGGTTCAAGTCGGCGTGTGCCCCGCACGAGGAAATAACAGCTCGGTCGCTCAACCCACGGCTGTTATGCGGGAATATCGCTGCGTGCGAGCGAGCGAGCGGCCGCCCCCGCGTGTCGCCCGCGAAGCACAACATCACTTCCCGCGAAGCGCTTTGAGACGACGTCTCGACGACGCGACAGGGCCCGCGTTATCGGACGCAAGGGATTATTATTATTACGACGACGACGATTATCCTTTGTTTTGGAGGGCTCGCGATTGATTTTTCTGCGCCCGCAAATATCCGGTCCATTCACTTATTAAATAAGAAGGCATATTCCGTGAAGCGCTTTGAGAGGTGTCGCGAGGACGTGACGTGAAAAGGGCTATTATCAAAGGCAAGGATTATGATGATGATGATGATGATGATGATGATGATGATGATGATGATTCGTGGAGTCCTGTAGCTCAGTGGTTAGAGCACTCGCTTTGCAAGTGAGAGACCTGAGTTCAATTCCAGGCAGAGGGCGAAACCTCGGGCAAGTTTCCTTACTCCACACAGAGCCTAATAATCATCCCTCCAAAACCCAAAACAATAATTAATCGGTCATTTTCAATCTACGACTGTTTGTGGGACATTGCTGTGCGCAATTGGCTGCCGCGTTCGCCCACAAATATACAGTCAATTCACTTTGCAGTGTGTTCTGTGAAGCGCTTTGGGACGTCCTCCCGACGTGAAAAGCGCTATATCAAATGCAAGGATTATTATTATTATTATTATTATTATCCTTAAATCCCTCCTAAAAATCCCTGTTCTCGGTCGCTCTCCGGTCACCCTTTTATGCCCTTCCTCCTCACGGTGGGCAAAGGAAATACGACTGAGGTGGGGGGGGAGTGGGGGGATAAAAATCGCTGGTCTTCATTCCCCTTTGACACCAGACTCCGGCCTCACCTCGTAAACCTCGGGCAGGGAATTCCGCAAGATGTAGTCCCTGAGCCCGGGCTCTGCGTACTGGAGGAAATCCATGTCCGGCCCCGTAGGCCCCGGTGTCCCGGTGTGTCCGGCTGTCACTGTCCCGGTGGCCGGGTATTGATCGGCGTGTTGACCCCCGGTGTGTTGGGGGGGTTGAGGAGGGGGCGGTGAGGGTGAGGGTGAGGGGGTTGTTGTTGTTGTGGTGCTGGTGGTTGTTGGGGCGTCGCTGCGCTCTCAGCGGCGCTCGCGCCTCCTCTTGTTTACCGTCGCCCTGGCAACGGCTTTTCAAACGACGGGACCAACCGCCTCCTTAGCTCCACCCACACGCGCACACACACCGGCTGGCCGACCGAAACCAACACCCCCCCCCCCGCTCCCCTCCGGAATTACACTTCAAACACTGTCTGGGAAGAACTGGACGCTTATCGGGTCAGAAATGGCTCTTGCGTCGTTTGAAGGCACCGATAGCGTCCGCGCGGTACTTTCAGAGGGCAGGTGCCACCTTCTCGAAGTTTACTGCGCGCGCGCGCGAGCGTTGAACTCCGGGTGTGTTTGCGGTTGGACACTCTCGCTTCGGCTCCCACGTCCGTGATGGCCGCTGTGGCTCGGGACCGGGCTTCGCGCCCCGGGTCCTGAACTCCTCTCAGCGGAGGAGAAGGAGGGGTGGGTGGGGGGAAATGGGCGGCACCGAGGGCAGCGGGTGGCCGCTCAGGCTGGCGGCGGTCCTGCTGCTGACCGGAGCGGGCGGTCTGTACGCGCTCTACCAGCTGCTGGAGGCCCGGGACAAGCAGCGGGGTGGCGTGAGGGAAGGCCCCCGGGTTGCAAGGGGCCCGGGCGGCACCGACGCCAGAGCTGGCGGCGACCACACCGTGCACGCCCCGACCGGAGCAGCCAGCGGCCGAGCGGGTAAATAACCTGTGCCAAGTTCAACCGTCAGGCGTTCGCAACCGAACATTAAATAACCGATGACAGACCAGGCGGCGACGACAACAACAACTTGCACTCGCGCGGCGCCCTCCGCGCAGGGCAGCGCCTCGGAGCGCCCTGACGGTGTGGCCGGAGCCTGACTCCCGAGCCGGTGGGGGAAGGGAGGGGTGGCCGTAAGAGGAGGGTCTCGCGAAAGGCGGAGGGATTGATTGAGGGAGAGTTTCCAGACGTCCCAAAGCGCTTCACAGAATATACCGTAAAGTGAATTGACTGTGAAGCGCTTTGGGACGTCCTCCCGACGTGAAAAGCGCGATATCAAATGCAAGGATTATTATTATTATTATTATATTTGTGGGCGAACGCGGCGGCCGATTGCGCACAGCAATGTCCCACAAACAGTCGTGGATCGAAAATGACCAATTTATTATTGTTTTTGGTTTTGGAGGGATTATTATTAGGCTCTGTGTGGAGTAAGGAAACTTGCCCAAGGTTTCGCCCTCTGCCTGGAATTGAACTCGGGTCTCTCGCTTGCAAAGCGAGTGCTCTAACCACTGAGCTACAGGACTCCACGTTATACGTGGATATTCTCCAGGATATACTGGAAAGTGAATTGCCTACGTTTCGACTATAAAATTGACTCTTACATTTTGCGGACGAGCCCCGGCAGCCCAATTGCGCGCAGCAGTGTCCCGCAAACAGTCATTAATAATAATAATAATTGATAATTATAAAATTCCTTGCATTTGATATAGCGCCTCACTTGTCACGTTGGCGAGACGCCTCGAAACTCTTCATAGGATCTACTGGAAAGTGGATTGACTGTATTTTGTGGGCAAAAGTTAACAGATGTCTGAACATATGCTGGGAGGGGAGAGGTCTCCTTGGTACTGAATTGGCTCCTGACGATTTTCTGTTACATTTGTGCACACATTAGCCTCTAAATGTTTGAATTCGTTCCCCACAGTATTCATGAATGTTATACCAGTAACACTACTCCTGATAATCTGGTCACTCACTTCATTAGCTGTTTTGTTGGCGTCCTGGGACGTCTTTCCGACGTGAAGGGTGCTATACAAGTGTCATTTGTTGTTGTTGTTTGTGGGACACCCTGGTGGATATTGGCTATCACATTTACTTATAAATAATAATAATGATAATAAGTCTTGCATTTGAAATGTCTCAAAGTTTCACTTCACAAGTGCAGTGTAGTTACTGTGTATTTTCAGGCAACTGTTTTCTGCTTGCAATGCTTAAGCTGTGAAGGAACCGTCTAGTATTGTAGTTAAGAGTTAAGTGTGAAGATAAAGTTAGTTACTTCAACTCTACAACTAGACAGGTGCTGAGGAATATACAATATACAGAGTCACTCCACTGTGAAGCACTTTGAGATGTGTCAACAATGTGCTATGGCACTATATCAAATACAAGGTTTATTAGTAGTAGTATAACTCCTACTCCTCAGTACCAGTTTTATTAAGATTCTAGTTGCAAAGTTGAAGTTGTAACTCACTTTGTATGTGTCTTCACAAGTTATTTATGGGACACTGCTGTGTGCAATTGGCTGCCGCATTTAGCCCACAAATTATGCAGTCAATTCACTTTACAGTATATTCTGTGAAGCGCTTTGAGACGTTTCGAAAGGCGTGATAAGACCTATATCAAATGCAAGGATTGTTATTATTGTCTGTCTTTGCTTTGTAGTCTCATCTCTGAGTGTGCAGTGTGGTGGATCATATTGCTGGTGCCTCTTCCCCCCCTCCTCCTCCGACCAATGTTTATTGGGATGAAGTGACTAGTGTGTTTAGGTACAATCTTGTCATAGGTTGCTCCATGTATAAAGCTGAGCAGTTACCATTATTTCTAAAAATTAAACATTGTCTTTTAAAATATTTTTCCATCTGAATTGTTCCCTTCCGTATGCATCATGGATCTTCCCCTACTTTGTCATTGCCTAGTTTCCTGTTGCCTCAGGCTGAACTGTCCAATGTTCAATGTGACTTCAATCTTGGATGACCTCTTCCTCTAGCAATTTAAGAATTCCCGATCCAATGGTGACTATTCGCAGCTGATGGCAAGCAAAGTGCTATTATCTGGAACTGTACGTTTTGTAATCAGGAGCAGGTCACTTTTAGGCATAGCTCATGGATCATAAATTCAACTAATTAAAATGAACAGCTGTGTTGGCGACATGAAGGTTGCATTAGGGAGTGGTTTTCTGTGGTGTGTCTGTCATAACTGTTCCTTTCTCTGAGTTGGTCAACCTCCCATTTAGTGGAGCCAAAAACTGGATAACTTCTCCCAGGAGTGATGAACAGCGAGTAACTGAGGAATTAGTTGGCAGCTTAACTTTTTGGAGTTGGAAACATTTGTCGCATCAAGAAAGTGTACCATGTTTAATCATTTCCATCGTGTGTCTCTTTCAGGCAGTGTGCTTACAAATTCTCCTGACAACGTAGACCAGCAGCATCTTCAAGTGGTCCTTAGTCTACTTCAGGAGAACTCTGATGTTTCTACTCAAGAGCGTGCACTGGTGACTCTTGGTAACAGCGCTGCCTTCACTGTTAATCAGGTAGACACTTACTGCATTAGCAATCCACTTTCAAGAGTTTATCTGCTTGGTAACAAATCTCTGAAGATTAGTTTCAATATATATGATGAGAAAATATTCTAGACTAAAGTAATGTTATACTCAATCCTTCTCGAACTTGTTTGTTGTTTCCGTTTTGCGATAGAAGGCCCTCCTTCAAATAATGTTCACATCGTCTTAAGTAGGTAGGAATTCAAATTAAATCTGATATTTTTTACTCATAACTCAAAAATATTTTGCATGCAAATGTGCTTAAACTGTCTGCTTTCTTTATATTTCAGGAACTTATTCGCAATCTGGGTGGTCTTCGTGTCATTGGAAATTGCTTGTTTAATCCAGTCACATCAGTCAAAGTTAAGACACTGAATGCCCTGAATAATCTCTCCATGAATGTTGCGAATCAGGAAGAGCTGAAGGTAATGATATGTTACTATGGCTGAGGTAGAGCAGTCTTGATTTTAAAAAAAAGGGAAAAAGTGTAGTTGGAATATTGCTGGAGTCTAATCAGCTAAAACCGCATAGTTTACCATTGATCGCACTATCTGGCAAGCTTTCCTGCTACTTGTCCAGTTAGGACCACCCTAACCTTTAGGGCTTTGGCTTAAAGGATCAGAGTTGGAAGCGTCCCTGCCCCCAGTCACTAGTCTGACCTTCCAAGCCCTGGCAATGAGCAAGCCTGAAAGATCGCAAGATATAGATCGATTTAATTCATTACTGTTTGACTTCTGAAATATTAACCCCTTAATATTTTCAGCATTTTTTATGTGTTAACATTTGTGGATAGTAATGTGGTTTTCTTAATGTTTGTAACAATTCAGGTCTGGATTCCACAAATACTACAGATCCTGGAGACTTCCATATTAAACTCTGAGTTGCAACTAGCAGGCCTTAGAGTGCTGACCAACATGTCCGTCACCAACAATTATCACTGTGTCATAACTAGCTCAATTCCTTACTTTTATAAGGTCTTGGCAGAAGGAGTTGAAAACACGCAGGTATGATGTTCTGTGCCCATGTTGTGCTGTGTTTAAAACAAGAGTCTGAATGCATCCAGAGACACTGCATGTTATTTGTGTTTCCAGTACTTCAAACAACCAAGAAGATTTACAGATTAATTTTTTAAAATAATAATAATTATTTAATTATAATAGTCACTCATTCCACAAAATCCACTGTTTGTGGGACACTGCTGTATGCAATTGACTGCCATGTTTCACCCACAAAGTATATAGTCAATTCACTTTACAGTATATTCCATGAAGCGCATCGAGATGTCTCAATCACGTGATAAGGTTCTATATCAAATGCAATGATTATTATTTTATATAAACTTTCATTATTCATTTTTTTTGTGTGTGACAGGTTCAGGTACTAAAGGTCCTGGTGAATTTGTCTGCAAATCCAGATTTAACACAGGATCTCCTCTGTGCTCAGGTAAGATCACAACCAAAGCTGCTAATTGGAGCTAATTTAAAATGGAGTACTTCATTTAAAAATGACCATTTAAATTGGAGGGAACCATTTTTTTTGGTTGTCTAATAATTTGCTTATATAGTGTCACTGGGAGGTATGTTGAAATCATCTTACACAAAGAGATTATTTACATGTCCGAGAGATTCACACTTAATGACAGTTAACTTGATTGAGGCCAAAGTTTATATTACAAGTTTGATTTTGGTGTGGCCTACGTGGCACAGTATTTTGTCAGAAATATTGTAATTAAAACAGCCTGAGAAAATGACAAAGTTAACAGTCCATGTATAAGTATTTATGGTTTAGAACACTGTGTTTGTAAAGATCAGCACTGCAGGCGTGCCTTTCAGAGGTTTTGGTGGTTTCTGTGCAGTTGCTTCCAAGGCAGATGAATTATTCCCTGGTGGGAGTATAGAGATGGTTTTACAAAAGAGTCCTTAGAGTTAGAGGCTTAGAGTTCGCTCAGACTTGTTCCAACAATACGCCTTGATCTCATCCCCCAGAAGATCACTGCTACCGCACAAGAGGGATGCTTCCTTTTCCCACATCTCTTGTAGCCTTTTTGAGTGAAATAAATATAAAATGCAGAACTACAAACTCTCTTAAAAAATTTGCTGATGCAAAAGTTTTTGTGTTGCAGCCTCACGCTCACTAGGCAATAGGTGGTCTGCCAAAATTCCTGTGAAGTCAGGCTCTGAATAAGTGTCTACACTTCCCTTCACTGCCCTCAATCTCTGGCACCACATCCTGAATCCAGTGCCATCTCAGAGTCTACTGAAGAGGCAACACTTTGTGTAGGGAATGGATATAGGCCGAGGTACCAAAGGGGCAGTCCCGCTCGGCTCCTGTTTAACTCCACAAACCAAAGCCCTAACAGTAGGTTAGTTCCAGCTGGACAAGCAGCGGGCAGTTTGTTAGGCAGCCGTACAATGACAAGCTATGTGATTTTAGCTGGTTAAGCTCCAGCAGTACCCCAACCTACACCTAATACTTCTAAAATTCTAAAAGGTCCCGCTGGGAAGTGTGTGTATATTCCAAAAATTCTGTGGAACTCTGTCTCGTTTGGATACTCTTAAGCATGGTGAAGGGTTTCTTCGTGTGACAGACATCCAGTTGACCAAATTGTGCCAGTCAAGATGAGTCTGCAGCAACACAACCTGTGGTGTTCCATCAACTCTGCAATTCTCTTACACTCTAAAAGATCACACTTTTATTTAGGGACTAGATTTTATTTAGGGACTAGACTAGACAATATGCCAGAGATGAAGGGCACTATTTTAAAACAGTAAGTCACCCAGGTCTTCCTAATTATTTGCGTCAACTTATGTTGATATTGATCTGTTATTTTCTTTCGAAAATAAAATCCCCATATGAAATGAATGTACAAATAAAACATAATTTTTTGTGACTGATTTTATAATCTCTATGGCCTGCTATAGATTTCCACATTTGCATTTCAACACCGTCAACATTAAACACAATTTTTTTCCCGTATCTCATCTCAATCAGTTTGGCTAAGTTGAGAGCACTCTTGCCTCTAGAACAGAAAGTAGTGGGCTCAGGCCGCCCCGTGTTGGGACTTTGAACTCACTGTCGAGGCTGATACTTCAGTGCAGTACTGCAGAAGAGCTGGATTGTCAGATGTGCTGTCTTTCAGATGAAATGTAAAACTGTTTGCCTGCTTAGGTGGATGTTAAAGATCACATGATGCTATTAGAAAAGAGAGGAGAATTCCTCCCGGTGAGCTGACTAACAACTTTCCAGATAAATTCATCTTATGGGTTGGGGACCCTGCTGTGGACGTTGAGACTTTCAGTGTTATTGATACTATGTCAAATATTATTTATGACACTAAACAAAATGCTTTGTGTACTTTACAAAGCTGAAATAGACATTGTTTTTTAATACTGTATCCAGTTTGCACCTTGGTGAGACTGTTCACAATTCCACTGGATCAATTTGTTGTCTCGGAAATTATTTACGGATTGTGCAGTGAACTCATTTACACTCCGTTCCAGGCACCACCATCATTCCTTCTGCTGTTTGACAGCTGCGTAAACAAAGACATTCTTCTGCGAGTGCTGACATTCGTGGCAAATCTAAAGGAAAATCCGAGTCTGCTTCACAACCCTGCTCAGGAGGAATACAAGGTGCATTGTCTCGATTACGTACTGTTTGGAAACTCATCACCATTTTGTCAAAAACTTGCCACACTCGCCCTGCACCCAGACAGTGAAGTGAAAAAACAAGTTGCAAGAATTGTTGCCAAATTGCCTTAAGTAGTTATTTTCTATTTACACGGATTCTCAAGTAAATCTGTCTTTTTAATGCAAGTAAAGTTTAAATTATTTGAGTTGCTTGATGAATATCTTAATTTATGTAAAATTAAAGTGTAACAATAATTTACCAAGTCCTATGTTATTGTGTTTTTTGGTAATGTGGACAGAGAATGCTAAGGTGAATTTGTCATCTTACCACACATCTTAAAGGAACTTGTAAAGTGAGACCTTCAGTGCCAAAGAGCCTTATCTATCATATGATAACTGGATTGAAGTTTTAAATTGCAGGCATACACAAGATTATATGCACATTGGTTATCAAGGGTTGTATAAATAGATAAATTAACTTTGCAAATCGATCATTACAAAAGAAATCAGTCGTCAAGTGTTTTTGTCCCTCACCCCCTCATTTATACAATCTCTGGATTACATTCTTTCACCTCAGGCTCGCCCAATCTATACTAGCCAGGACGCAACATTCAATTGCTGGTCTGTACCTTTCCCAGAAAATTCCAGTGGCCAGAAATGGAAAATGTAAACATGGTGTATACTGAGAATCATTTATTACACAGTAGCAGAGTATATTGTAGAAATACTTATCGTTGAAGAAGCTGAGTAATAGAACCATACCATAAAAGACTGCATACCAGCTACATTGCCTCAAGGCTTAAGATAGTGCTTGCCATGGATCCCTAATACAATGGGGAGGAAAGCGTATACATTGATTGAGGACATGATTAATTTAAATGGGAGGATGTTTAGCTTAAGGCACCACTTTGTTTAAAAATTCTGTACCTTGACAAAAAGCAAGCCCAAGTGAACTCAGCACTTTTTAACTGCTCACTTGACGAGAAATGAGTGACAACTGGTATTCTAACAAAAGCACCTACAGAAAAGGTTTGGATCCGTAGTGTGAAGGTGTTGACATTTTGACATTGAGTCAAAATGTAAGTTACATCTTTCTGGACAATTGGGTTCGGATAAATGCTAGTTCTGAAAACAGCAATGTTTAAAATAGGACATCTTCCTTATATGAAAGGCACTATTTAAATGTAATTTGTTGTTGTTGTAAAATACTGCATAACTTTCAATCAAAGGCATATCTTTATTGACCCACAATAAAGATCAAGTTGGAATGAGGCCTCGTGTCTGCCCGCAGGATAAGGCAACTCCCTTTGTAGTCTGCAATCATCAGTTGAGGGTGGAAAGTGAATTTAAATTTGAACAATTAAAATTCTGCTATATTAACCCTTGTGTGAATCTCAGGATAATATACAGTTGCATCTGAAAGGAAGTACACTTAACTACTTCTTGGTATCTTTCTAGATAATAATTATAATAATAAGATAAAGCTTATTATGGGCATCTTGTCCACAAATACAATCAATCCACTTTACAAGTATATCCTGTGAAGGTCTTTGAGATATCACGATGACACGATAAGATGCTACATCAAATGCAAGGATTGTTTACTATATTATTGGGTTAACAACTGCAATTTTTAGTACTCGTTCTAAATACACTGAGATGAACCAATGTTGGTAAACCAAAAGCTTTATACATATGTACTCTTTCTGTGTGTATGCATTACAAGGAAGATGCAACTGGTACAATTTTAATTGCTATTTAATGTCATTTTGTTCCTCCAATTGTGATGGTTTGTGTAGGAATCTTATTTAGCAGGAATTCCTGGCACATGCATAATGTTCACCATTGTATTAACTGTACAGTTAGACATAGAGTGTTGGTGTTTCTGGGAGCTCTGAGACACTACCCTGCGTTGCTATATAAATGCAAGTCGTTGTGGTTGTTTCACATACACAAACAGCATTTTTTCTAAGTAAATTTATTTTTAAAACTTTGAAAACAGTAAAGAAAAACTGAAAAATAAAAACTTTGAAAATTGTCCTCCAATCATTTCATCATTTATAAGCACCTGGCATGCTTACTGAACTGTTATGGGTGAGATAGTTTAGTTGAATTGTAATAGTAATAATTAACCTTGCAGGTTTATCATTACTCAGTTTTTATGTGAGGTTTGCCTACTGCATCCTGCTTCTTGATGCTGAATAGGTGAGAAACAAAATCTGCATTGCTGTCTGACTTAAGTCATACAGGTGCTGTAAATAAAACAGTTGTGTTTTTCGAATTATGATCATCATGGGGTTCCTCTGGTCCCCTAGTGAGTAAAGACACCACCTGCTGCAGCACTATGCCAAACAGACCAGGGAGGTGCATGCTCAACAAAAACAAATTACATTTCTATAGCGCCTTTCACATCAGAAGAATATCCCAAGGCGCTGGACAGTCAAGTACTTGCACCTGAGCTGGGGGTTGGAATTAGAGGGGTGGTGGGTAAAGGGAGGTTGGGGTGGGAGGATGACCTAAGGCACAGTCAAAGAGGAAGGTCTTAAGATGAGCCTTGAAGGACGCAAAGGATGAGGCGATGGGATACCACCGGCATGGAGTTCCAGAGGGTGAGGGAGGGCAGAATGGCTGAAGGCCCAACCGCTGATGGTGAGACAGGCCCGTCCACGAATCAGGCAGATTGGTCAGGTTTAAGCAGGTTACAGAGGTAGGGAGGGTCAAGACTGGAGTGCTTTAAAAGTGAAAAGTGAAAAGCGCTAAATCAAATGCAAGGATTATTATTATTATTATTATTAAGCTAGATCCTCTGGGCAAATGGGAAGCCAGCGAAGCTCGGTGAGGATGGGAGATTGGTGTTCAAATCCTTGTCTGCTGAATTTGCCGATATAAGTCGCGCAGAATTCATGTACTAATGTTTGTTAGAAACTCTGGGTTAAAGAAGGGAATATCGGGCAGGGTTCCTGCTTCTAATTGTTTTCCAGGAATCTCCGCTGGATAGCTCACTTCATAGAATCATAGAATTATACAGCACAGAAAGAGGCTATTCGTCCTATTGTATCTGTGCCGGCTCTTTGAAAAGAGCTTTCCAAATCAATCCCATTCCCCCGCTCTCTCCCCATAGCCCTGCAAACTTGTTCTCCCCAAATAATTATCTACTCTCTTAAAAGTTGTTATTCAAGTCAGCTTCCCACCACCCTTTGAGGCACTGCATTTCAGCTCTGAACAACTAGTCATGTAAAAAAAATTCTCCTCAGCTCCCCTCTTTTAACAACTATTTTAAATCAGTGTCCTCGGGTTACTGACTCACCCGCCAGTGGAAATAGTTTCTCCTTCTTCACTCTATTGAATCCTCTCATAATTTTGGAAACTTCTATTACGTCTCCTCTTATCCTTCTCTGCTCCAAGGAGAATAATCCTCGCTTCTCTCGCCTCTCCTGATAACTCAAGTCCCTCATTCCTGGTACCATCCTGGTAAATCTCCTTTGCACCCTCTCCAATGCCTTGACATCCTTCCTAAAGTGTGGGGCCCAGAACTGAACACAGTATTTAGCTGAGGCCTAACCAGTGTTTTATAAAGGTTCATCATAACTTCTTGACTGTTATATTCTATCCCCCTATTTATACAGCCTAGTCCTCCCGACGTGAAAGGCGCTCTATAAATGGAATCTTCTTGTTGTTGGCTCGTTGTTGGGACTTGGGAGGGACAGGGATTCTTCCCATTTGTAAGACCAAACCCTAACGGGTACCATGGTCCTAGCTGGACAAGCACAAGACAAGATGTTACCCAGTTTTAGCTGGATAAACTCCAGCAGTGCCCCAACCATTGGCTCTTAACAACTTGTTCCCAATACTCATTAAGTAAGCCGGGTGCCTCTCGGCAGAGAGAGAGAGAGAGAGACAGAGAGTGTGCATTCCATTCCAGGCACAGAGAAATTTACATGTGCATTTGGCATGCCTATGTGGAACTCTTGTCAGGTTTGGATACTCTTAAGCATGGTGATGGATGGAGACACCCGTCTGACCAAAGAAAAGCAGAGGATTGATTGTTTGGTGCTGCAAACTATTGAAATCTGCCATTTCTGAAATAGAGTTGGGATTTATTAAACCACCATAACATATGTGGTGGAGCCCTAGGACACCAAATCTATTGGATTGCATTTGCATTGATTTCTGCAAAAAAAATGCAGATTTTACACAAGAAAAAATCTGTAGATCCTTGACAACAAAAGCCATCCTGAAAGAAAACTGATAATGAACAGAACCAGCATCTTAAAAAGGTGACACTTGGGACAGTGAATTAGAGATTTTCCAACAATGAATTTAAAAATAGAATAAACTGGTGCCTGAAAAATACTTCATTTGCTGCATTTCTGTCTTCCTCTCAAACCTATTCAACTGTAAAAGTGTATGTTTACTTAGGAACAAAGGAATTGCTAGACGAAAAAAGACCAAGGTCCATCTAGTTCGCCTTCTACCATCCTAGTAGTTGCATGCTATAATAATGGACATGTTGATCTCAATTACTTCTGTATCATTTAGTCTGCCATTACGTTGGAAAACTTTGGGGACCTTAGATCCAAAGTTGCCAAGTTTTTCCAAGTATAATACACTATCTTGCCTCAAATTACTCATATAATGTATACCAAAATGTTATTTTCTAAAATCTATCTCATTTTGTCAGACGTTTCTTTGATAAACATTGTCTTATTGAGTTAAAAAAAATTGAGTTTGTTGTCCTTCAGAAACTATCAAATTGAAGTCACCACATTGGATTTGCAAAGATCAGAAAGGCAAGTCTTTAATTACTGCATATAATTAAATAAACAGACTAACATATCAAATGAGCACAATTTTATTTGCGTAATTAAAAGAAACAAAACTTCACTCCAATGTTCAAACATTCAACAGCAGGAATGTTGTGTGATCTTTGTGAATAAATCAGATACATTGACAGTCATTTTGCAATAGGTATGAAGTCAGCTGTGTTTTTCATAGCACTCGTTTTCCAAAACATAAAAAAAATGCAGCTCCATGTCAGCATACTTTCTGATAGAAATCATAGGATTAATAATATCCAGTATCGATTGCCTGCCTCCTCGGATTTGTGGCCAAATAATCGTGGAGGAGCGTGACATAAGAAAATATTTCATTGGTTTTTCATGAGTGCATTCATGCTTCCAATGTTAATAAAATCAAGGTATAGGGACATTACAAGTAACTTACTGTAGTAATAGTTAACAATGTCCTAAGTCTACATAAAAAAGATACAGGTTAAAGCTGCCATTGTAATTCAATGGGTCTAATACTGGTCATTGACCTTCCAGTGAAATATCATAGAAAATTTGAGTATTATGGAAAAATAATCTTATCATAGTATCCCTCCCCCATTTTATTCAATGGCTCTTAACAGGTATTAAAAGGATTTTACTCTGTAACCATGAGGTCCCTGCTGTTAAATTGTTGCTGTGGTTAAACCCTATTCATATTCTGTTGGGTACGTTTCATGAATCTCTTCCTTTGTGTTTATAAATCATTAATGCAATCTTAGCCGACAAATAGCATATTATAAAAGTGACGAAAATATATTAAAATTGCATTAATAACAGTAGATAAATAACATTATTTTTAAATGCAAGGTTCACATTGAATGAGTTACTTGTAAGTGCAGTGATTTACATCGCTAATGAAGTAACATCTCACGACAACAATAGCTTGCATTTATATAGCGCCCTTCACGAGGGGTAGCATCTTGGAGCTAACAGCACAAACAGTAATGAGATTAAATTAAATTAAATTAATCTGGTCTGGGTGAATTTGGCTGAAGGAGGTATATATTTGGCAGAAAGAGGAACATTGACAAGGGCACTGGAAGAACTTTGTTGAAATATGGGCATGAGTTCATTAACGTTCAACAGAATCACGAGAACAACTTGCATTTACATGGTAACGTTGATGTAAAAGATTTGAATTTACAATCTAGGTTGGCATTGCTGGAGGATCATCGCACTGTCAGAGGTACTTTCTTTCGGATGAATCGTTAAACACCATGCTAAACATGGTGCGTGTTAAAAACATGGTGCACGTTAGGAATCCCTTAAAACTATCCAAGGAGAGGTTTACTGATGCCCTGGCCAACAATCCTCCTCGTAAATCACTCATTCACTTTATGGCTGTTTGTTTGAGCTTGCCGGCATTGTTGGTACTTGTCTAAATAAACAAGTATCACTGCAAGGCAGTAATTAACTGTGAAGCATTTTGAGGCATTTCAATGTAATGAGACTGTAAAAGGCAAGATCTTTTTTTCCGGGGACAAATTCATGAAATTTACTGAATTCAGCACAATAGCGCTTAACCCACAGCTGGGATTTTGCCACACTGTAGACATTAACCCCCACTTATAATATGTTTATTTCATCTTTTAGTTACCAGAAAAACTGATGTCAAGTAGACGTGTTGTTTTAAAGGCATAATGGGCAGGTCCAAACCAGTCTGGGTAACATTATAGCAGTTACAATGCCTGAAATAGCCAGCACTACATTGGAAATTCATAATTTGGTTTGGATTTTACCGATTGCATCCAGGCAAAGCACTTCCAATATAATGTGCATTCCCCCACCCAGAAATATTATTTGAAGAATTATTTCAAATATCTCCTTGAGAGGAAATACTCGTTATTAAAATTAAAGGCCTAAAGTATAAACGTGGATGTTTATTAGTGTCAAATAGCAACTATTTATACTTGCATAGCGTTTTTCACATTGGGAAAACATCTCAAAGTGCTTTACAGAGGTTGAGCAGGAGCCCACGTTGGGAGGGAGATAAGGTTGTGGGAGTTAGGGTCGTGGGATGGTGGCTAAAAGCACATTCAAAGAGGTAGATTATCAAACAGGAATTGAAAGCAGAGAGGGAAGCGGCAAGGTAGAGGGATTTCAGGAGAGAGCTCCAGAGGATGGGGGCAAAGTGGCTGAAGGTTCATCTGCTGACGGTGGGATGAGTGCATTGGGGCATGAAACCGGTCAGTTTGGTTCAGTGAAGGGAGTGACTGGGGGAGAATGGTTGCAGGAAATCGCAGAGATAGGGTGGTGCAAGGTTGTGGAGGCATATTAAGGTGAGGTTGAGGACCTTATGTTTACTGGGGGCATCAGGGAACCAGTAGAGCCAGTGAGAGAGGGGAAAAAGAGATTGATGGGCTCAAAGAGCCTGGTGTGGGATAGGCTATGGGCTGTGGAGTCCCAGATAGTCTGCACTTTGTGGACTGTGGGTAGGGCAAAATAATAATAATTCTTACATTTAATATAGGGCCTTATCATATCGTTGAGACTTCTCAAAGCGCTTCACAGAATATACTGTAAAGTGAATTGGCTGTATATTTTGTGAGCGAAAAAAAGCCAGTTTGAAGGGGAACAGAGTTAATAATAATAATCCTTGTATTTGATATAGAGCTTTTCACGTCTTCGAGACGTCTCAAAGGGCTTCACAGAATATACTATAAAGTGAATTGACTGTATATTTGTGGGCAAACGCAGCAGCCAATTGCACACAGCAGTGTCCCGCAAACAGTCGTGGATTGAAGTGACCAAATTATTATTGTTTTTTTCTTGAGGGATCATTATCAGGCGTGTGGAGTAAGGAAACTTACCCAAGGTTTCACCCTGCCGGGAATCGAACCCAGGTCTCTCGCTTGCAAAGCTACAACAACAACAACAACTTGGATTTATATAGCGCCCTCCACGCCGGACTGCGTCTCAGAGCACTTCACGGATCCTGGGGCTGAGCCAGGGGGAGCAAAGGCGCGGTCGAAAAGAAAGGTCTTCAGCCGAGACCTAAAAGTGGGAAGAGAGGGGGCGAGGTGAAGGGAATGAGGAAGTGAGTTCCAGAGCCTCGGGGCGTAGTGGCTGAAGGCATGGCCGCCGATGGTGGAGCGGAGGACTCGGGGGACAAGAAGCAGGCCAGACCCGGTGGAGCGAAGGCAACGGGCACTGTTGTGAGGAGAGAGGTCAGAGAGGTAGGGGCGGTGTGGAGGAGTGGAGGGATTTGAAGACAAGGGTGAGGATCTTGAAGTTGATCCTCTCTGGGACAGGCAGCCGGTGCTCTAGTGCTAAAGCTAGTGCACTAACCACTGAGCTACAGGACTCCACAATGAGTTGAGAGGAAGGACACCTTCCAGCATCTTGGAGAGGAAGGGCATGTTTTGGAGATGAGGAGATTCCTAGAGAGTTGGAAGGGATCCTGTGTTGGTATTTTGGGAAGGGCTAATGACGATGGAGGGATACCAACTCAGAGGGAAGGGAGGATGCACAGGTTGATGCAGAGGAGCATTGTGGAGATAGGGGTCAATGAAGCAGGCGGTGTGTTTCACACAGAAAGTGAGGGAAGAAAGAAAGGGAGACAGGGTCTAAAGTGAAGGCACACAGGAGGCAGAGAGAGTGCAGGTAGGCAGTTAGGTGGGGGCGGAGGTGGGTGGGTGACAGTGGGTGGAGGAAGTGGAGACATGTTTACACAGAGCCAGGGTTGCAATAAAGCACTCATGAACTATTATTACTGCTCTTGGGTACTGGGACAGTTTCCCTAGAGTTCTGGAAAGTGGGGAACTGTGGTCGGATGTCCTTAATTTTTTTTAATATTCAATTGGATAAGTTTATTTGTGATGTTTTGCTGTTAACTGATTTCCCCTCCCCCCGTACCACCCAACACATAAGTCCAAACCGTGTATCATTTCCTAGCTACAGAAAAATTCCACTTAGGGGAGAATGCAGCAGCCTTTACTTTATTAGTACAACTATTGCAAATCAAATGTGTCTGGTTACCATGCCTGACGTCATGAACAATCAGGAAGAAAACCCACAGATAATTTCCATCTTCTTCTTTGCTAGTGTTGGCCACCATATATCTATGTTATTAATACAATTCCATGTTATTAAAAAAAGGCACTTAGCTTAAGGCCAGCTTTTCACTTCAAATTCAAGGTCCAAGTTCAAGTTACATTACGCAAAGAACTGTACTTATACATTGTGGTTCAGTTACACTCGCCTTGATGCATTTTTCATGCTCAATGTATGCGTTTATTTAAAAGGTGCAATCTTAAAAGTTTTTGGTTAAACGTGCGAGCGGCAAGTTGAATAGGTGTAGATGTGAGGACAATGATGGGTTTGCTTCAGGGTAGCTGACAACTGCATAACCCACAGATTATTACAAAGCATTCAGACACCATATGCACCTTGATTAATAAACACAATACCAAAAACGTTTATGTACAACACAGTTTTCAACGATATGAACCAAACCAGCGTAGATTTCAATTGTAAAGTAAACATTACTGTTAGATATATCCAAAGCTTCAACCATAACTTTCAAAGTTGGGGTGGGTGGGGGGAGGGAAGCTAGCTTTGGGATGTGAGCATATTTCATGCTTGATTTGAGAACTTGTGCACAAGGATTAATCAATGTAGATGATTCATGAACTAATGGCACTTCAATGAAATTTCAGACCAAGCTTAACCATGATCGATGTCGAGGTGAGCCTGCTCCACCTCTTCTGCGCTGCATCTTCATTCAAAGCCTTCCTCCTCACTCAAGTTCTTGGATTCTCCGTGTTTCAAAACAAAGAAATCTTCTGGTTTCAATCCATATCTCTCGCGAGCTTCTTCGAGCTTGCTCCGAGGTTCCAGGTAATACTGGAATTGAAATGGGAGTCTTTGGTTACACGCACCCACAAGCCAACTGTTTGCATGTACATTTCACAGCGTATTCTGTGAAGCGTTTTGAGACGTCTCGAAGACGGGATATATCAAGTGCAAAGATTATTATTATTATTATTTAACCGCATTGGGTTCCGATGTGGAAATGGACAGGGGCCTGTGATACTGGCAAAAAAAATACACTTGCACACTAGGGACAGACAATTTACCCACTCAGCATAAGTAAATCATAGGTCAAGTAACCTCATCCACTTGTGCACAACTGGATTTTTTGCTGGTATCCCAAAGGTACGTGTTTATCTAGTGTGTAGACTTGGAGGGGGGAGGAGAGTCGAGATACAGAGACACAGAAAGAGACAACAACCACAACAAATTGCATTAATGCAGCGCCTTTCACGTCGGGAGGATGTCCCGAGGCACTGGACAGTGAAGGGTTTGCACCCAAAAATAAAATTAAAAAAAGACCTAAATTAAGAGCAGCTCAGAGAGAGGGAGATTCAATGGCAGAAAGAGAGAAAGAAAAAGTGTGAGAATCAGAGAGAGTAGTAGAGAGAGAGCTGGTACAGTGAGATACGACAGTGACAGTTTAACTATCGGAAGAATTTTATGGGTAGTGCAGTAAATACTTTGTATTTGGGCGATGATCAATTATCCACACTGTTTCCTTATCCACAATGAGGGCTGGCCCCAATTAACAAGGAAATGGACTCTCAAGTCAACACAGTGGCTGATCAATCATACCGCCATGCAATGCTAGCTATACACACTAACTGTACGTTAACAAAACAGAATGGCTGACAGAAGGCATATCAGGTTTGAGGCTCAAAGTAGACAAAGAGACTTTAGAAAAAAACACAAAGTCTTCTCACTGTTAATCTTCACTCTTTTCAGCTCTGGTTATGCCGTGGGCCCTGACCCCTGACCCAAGTGTCTCGAATTTCCTCAGAAATCGTAACAGGAACTCTCTGTCAATTATGCTCTCTAAAATTATGCATTAAATGCAAAATGACGGGTAATTTGTGTTGAACGAGAATTTTCTAGAGACATTAATCCCGTCACTGTTGGGCTCTAATCTCTTATAATCACACCCTATAAGCAAAAAAAATTCCACTTGGACCACATAATCCTCTTTCTACCTTATGAAGTGCATCACATTTAACAATCAATCCATTTGCTACTCTGACAACCAAACTGACAGCAGAGATCAAGTGGTTGAAAAATTGTCCTCAGAATGAGTTAACCCTTTCCGAATAAAAATTGACAAAGACAAAAATAAATCCAAATTCCTCAACGGTTAGCACGCTCGCCTCGGAAGCGAGAGGACCCAGGTTCGAACGTGGTTGTTAGTCGATTGGTGGATTGCTTTCCGGTGGTAATAATCCCTCCAAAAAGAAATTTGCTCACTCAATCCATGACTGTTTGTAGGACACTGCTGTATGCAATTGGTTGGTGTGTTCGCCCACAAACTACACAGTCATCACTTTATAATATATTCTGTGAACCGCTTTGAGACGTCTCAACAATGTGATAAGGTGTTACATCAAATGCAAATGCAAGGATTATTCTTATATTACAATACCTTATATTTAAATTCTGGCAATCTGGCACATTTGGTAGTAGTCACACCTCTGGGACAAGATTGTGGGTTCACATTGGGACCTTGAGCTCATACAGCAAGTTGATACTCCAGTGCAGTATTGGGTGAGTATTATTGGAGATGCCATTTGCTATTCAGGTGAATGCTAAAATTCCCATAACATTATTTGAAAAAAAAGAGCAAGTAGCCTATTTATCTCTCGGTTAATAATAATAATAATAATTATAAAAGTTTGCACTCTATATACCACAAGGTATCACGTTGTTGAGATCTCTTCACATGATTTTACTGTAGCTGTGTATTTGTGGACCAAAATGGCAGCCAATTTCCGCATAACAATGTCCCACAAACAGCCATAAATATTATCTGGGGGATTGTTGGCCAGGATAAGGAGACAATAGTGATGTAAGGAAGGTGTGAGGATCAGCTGGGGGAAAAAGGAAAAGTACAGAAAAGAAATTGGTTTTGTCCCAGGTGATTAGGCAAAGAAATGTGAATGAGAGTGTTATAAAAATGTAGCAAAGGAGCTGTGGATGGATTAAAGGACTAAATTACAGTCAAGGCTGTTCACAGGATTTTGTATTCGTCAGGCTAATGATAGGGTGAGGTGTTACCTTAACGCCAGCTCCATTGTAATTCGAAAGAGGATAAGCTGTGCAGGCACAAACAAGAGTGAAAACGAAAGGGGAATTCTTAACAAGATTACATTAAAAACACAGAGAAACGCTAAACTCAACATAAGTTCTGCATGAAATATCTTCTTCCACTTTACAACTGTGAATAACAGAACTACGGTGAATTTCTTTTATAAATGTTCAATAACGATCTGCTCTAATGACTTCTTCCTTTCCCCCTCCCCTGAAGCTTCCTGTGGATTAAAGGCAAACAGTTGAAAGTCTCCGAATTATCCAATTTCACGCAATTCTTTGCCTTTGCACCTGCAAAAAGAAGCAGCTTCTTTGGAATAGGGGAACAGTGGCTTTTGAGTAGGAACAGATGCTAGATCCCAGAGGGCAGTGGTGTAATCATTACACCACCGGTCTGGCTTCAGTAGGATCAGGATTGATAATACAATGCAAATTTACAACAGAAATTTACATTTATATACTCTAGTGCCATTCTCATTGGCAAGATGTCCCAAGGGCTTGACACCACTGGCTGGGCACCCAAGCTGGAGGTTGGAGCCAAAGGTTGGGGGTGGGGGAGGGGGCAGAGGGGAAGATAACTGAATTCACGGTCAAAGAGACAGTTAAGCGCTCTGGGATGCTACCCGTGTGAAGGGTGCTATATAAATACAACTTGTTGTTGTTGTCAGTCAGTGTAACGGTTACCTGATCTCAAACGATTAATATTACTCAATAAAGAGATTATCTGGACTTTTCACCTACAAATTCTGACCCTGTACTTGTCTAAAAACAAGTCACTACTCTTCCTCCTCCTAATCCCATTCAAGATCAATGGCACAATCGTAGATCGGTTATATGTCGAAAAACATTTGGCTGATAAACATAGCACCTCAGTATTCCTAACAAACCTGACCAATATTGCACAGATTGAAACATATTCCCAGCATTGGGGCTTAATGAGTATTAAAGTGTGCAGGGGGTTAAATTTCAACATGTTCCAATAGCTTTTGCAGTAATTGAAGCACATCATTCTCCGCTGAATAATAAAACAAGACTGGATACGAGGGGTGATGATTATGCTGCCCCACCCACACAAACAATGAGAGCTTTGTGGGAAGCTTGAGGGAAGGAGCTATTTTTTGACAGTAGTAGCTTTTAGTTGCTTTGCCAAGATTCAACTTTGTCTTATTTCTCTTGAGCCCATTTTTTTCCATTCCTCCGCTCCAAAAGATGTCCCTCCGACTCTTTGCCTTTCACTAGAGTACAGTTCCATGGACACTAGTCACCGCTTTCATCGCTATAATACTAATAATCCTTGCATTTGATATAGCTCCTTATCACGGCTTTGAGGCAGCAACAACAACTTGCATTTATACTGCGCCCCCTCACGCAGGGTAGCGTCCCAGAGCGCTTGACAGTGGGTGAGCACGACGTCGAGCCGGGGGGAGGGAGAGATGACCGTAGGCACGGTCAAAGTGGAAGGTCTTCAGGCGTGATCTGAAGATGGGGCAGGAAGGGGCAAGGCTCAGGGATAGAGGAAGAGTGTTCCAGAGTTTCGAGGCGTAGTGTCTGAAAACCCGGCCAGCGATGGTGGAACGGAGGGCACGAGGGATATACGGGAGGTTGGAGCCAGTCAAGCGGAGGCAGCGGGTGGTGGGTTGGGGAGTAAGCAGGTCGGAAAGGTAGGAAGGTGTCATATGTAAAGCTTTACGTGGAGCTATTTTTCAAATAAATTGTAAATGAACACTATAGCAAACCGATAAATTGTAAATTATCACTACGCTGCAGGACTCCACAATTTGCCTTTCGCGGATTAGGTTTCAAACCCAATTTCATTTGCAGAACAAGGCTGCTGCCAACCTCTTTCAGACATATTGAGCCTCAGGACAGCAACAACTCTTCCCCTGGGTGCAGCTGCAATCTGTTGCAGACCAAAGCTCAGACCATTTAGCACACGCTCAGAAATCATCATATATCACACACACACAAAAAAACAGGGCAAAGTAATTGTTCCATTGGTTTCACCGAAGATCGGCTAGCCCAGCCCTCACTTACACTAGAATAAAATAAAATAAACTATCTACGACTTCTCGTGTAATTATTTTTATATCAGCTAACTAACTAAATACATAATTTAAAGGAATGCACTACCTGAAAGGATGGTGGAAGCAGATTCAATCATACCTTTCAAAAGGGAATTGGATATATACTTGAAAAGGAAAAGGTCAGCAAGGGTTTGGGGAAAGAGTGGGGGAGTGGGACTAGTTGGATAGCCCTTTCAAAGAATCAGCACAGCCACAATGGGCCGAATGGCCTCCTTCTATGATTCTGTAACTCAGCACAGAACCTCATGGTTTCATACTGGGTAGTCTCTTTACTAAGTGACCATTAGAGGAGCTCAGATGTACCCAATCTCTGATGCAGTTCCCAGTCATTGCACACGGACATCAGCGCCTTGGGACGTCCTCCCAAAGTGAAAGGCGCTATATAAATGTAATCTTGTTGTTGTTGAAACATCTGAGGCTCTCACACAACAGGCTCTGCGAATTTCTGGATTCTGAACTGGGAATAGTTCAAGGAGATGGGAGATAATAGGAGAGGAAGTACAAAATCATTTTTAAAGTGAAAGTGTAGATCCGTACAACGAAAGGCTAGGGCACCAACTAATTGACACTGGGTGCAGGGTGAGTCAGTGGTGCCCATTCATGCAGATAGGGTCATTGTGGAGTCCTGTAGCTCAGTGGTTAGAGCAC